GTTAGAAATTTGGCATAGGGATAAACTCAACTTTGTGTTGCCAATTGGACATGTGTGATGTTTGGGGGTTAGGGTACATAGTGGGGATCCTATGCTCTTGATTATTATCTATTTGGTAATATTAGAGAGATCAATTATTTAGATTAAATTTTATAAATTATATAATGTGTTTGTTGATGATTTGATTTTTATTTAAATATTGATTAACATGTTTATTTCGCATCGCTAACACATCACATAATTTGTAAGTTCGTTTTAAAAAATTAGTTTAACCAACATTACACTTATTTAAATGTAGCAACCAAAGACGGTTTTAATTGATGTAATTAATTATTGGGCCTAAACCTTGTTTAGAAGCTGTGAAGCTAAAGATGATGCTCAAATTATTCAGCCCAAATTTTTTTTTATAAAAATTGGGATGGGCTTGTAATAACTTTGCATCCAAAATTGTTTTCTACAAACTAGATTGGATTTTGAGCCCAAAAATGATATGAAAATCAAAGTCTCCATCTCATGCAGAAAGGCTTGTAATGAGCCATACAAAAGTGCACGGAAATTGTCATGATCATTCTATTTTAATGTGGAGTGAGTCATACAAAAGTGCTTCTCTAATAAGCCTATTTCATGTGCATTAGAGAAAAATACGAAAGTTGCCAACGAGAATTAGTTGAGTTGGTAAAGATTGTTCCCTTGCTAGACCAAAGCCTGTAGTCAATCACTCTTTATGGGTGATCAGTAAAAACCAAAAAATGGGCTAAAACACTTCATAAATTGTCAAAGAGGTTTGTAAAATGTCCTAGTACTGAGATGGTAGCCTCACCTCACCTTCCCTAAGCTTCTTATCAACCAAAAAAATGGAATACGAAAGTTGTTTTTTGACTCAGAAGATTCAAAGTACCACATTAAGACAGTCAAAAGACAATGAAACAAAAAAAGAAAAAGAGAAATGGCATGTCAAGCATTTTTGGAATGAGCGGTTTTGGGAAAATTAGCAGGTAAGTTCATTGGTTACATTTTTAAGCATTGTCTAACAATAAAAAAAACTTCTTCAAGTTCTTTTTAGTACATACTTTGAGTTTATTTTATTTTATTTTATTTTATATTTTATATATATATATATTTTATTTTTATGGTATTTGACTTTGAATGCATGGGTTTTCTTTCAACAGCCTTTACCTAATGAAGCTATGGTAGTAAGCAATGCCGGAACTACATTAAAATGGTGGACTGTTGTCTAGGGAGTTTGGGAAAGTGAAAACTATAACTAAGAAAAACCACTTGAATTTTCACTCCAGAAGTTGAAGATTTCTCACCATGAACTGCTCCGTCAAGCAATACTTTGCCGTAACAAACGGGTCTGACATCTTTTTGCAGTGGAGCATACAAACACCGTCGGTGCAATGATCGTTGATTCTATTGTCTCTCCTAGTGCAAAAGCCTAAGAGATTAGTAATCTCGCTGCAAAATGACTTGCACGTGTATGCAATTGGGAGGGGCTCGCTGAAGCGACTCGAACAAGTGTGATTAAATGGCAAGCGTTCGAGGCCGACTGATCACAGCCAGTCGACTCCAACACAAGCTGATAGGATTTTTCGCACCTGCAAAAGTAGGGATAAAAATCACAAAATCACTTAAAAATACTTGCAAGAATACACGGCTCAAGTAAAGTCGTTTCCACAGGGATTGAATGAAAAATTTGGATTTAAAACCAACTCTTAATTAATTATTTAAAACAAAGTTTGGAAAATGTTGATTTTGAGATTTAAAATAATAAAACCGAATTTAAATTAAAAACAATTAAATAAATCAACTAGAAACCAATTTAAAGAAACACTAGGGTTCCGCCGTCACCTTAACAATCTTATGTAGTTCTTCCAATTACTTATGAACTACCCATGCATATTTTGAAGGTTATATTTTCCTAATATATATCCTACTTGAAACCTCCAACATAGAACGTATATCTAACATGCAACCCGTCCAGATGTTCGAATCAAATATGAACATGAAAGACTCATTAAGTTTTATGAAAACCCTTCGAAAAACCATGGAACCCTTAAGACGTGATGTCCTAAGTGAAATTACAATTATAAACCACAAGAAGCCAAAGTAAATTTCAGGAACCTTCCGACCAAAATTGCATCAAATTACTTTTCTAAATATCATAATGGTCTCGAATCACTATGACACTTAGATAGTTTAAAATGATGATTAATAATTCAAAACATGCATGCATAATATCATAAGTAAATTGGAAAGAAACTACATATTCCTAGCAAAGGAAATTAGTTACAAACAATCATAAAACAAAATATTATTAAAAACATGGAAAGAAAACACCTTGAAAGAAGTGTACAAATCCTCCGAAGTAGTGCGTGCGTTTCCCCTTCCTTCTCTTTAATACCCTAATGGTTAAATATCTTTATTTATACTACTACAAAATAAAACTCTAAAAGGTCTTAGAATAAAACTAGGAAATATAATATATTAATAAAACAGAAAATAAAATGCTTCTTATTTAAACTGAAATTCGGATTTATCAGAAAATCAGACATTTGACCGACCAAATCAACTCCAATTTGGTCCAAAAGATCTCTTTCGAAAGCTGAAGACGTCCCCAATAAATCCTTAGAAGGAATGTCCCTCAAAATATACCATATTGACCTGCAAAATACCCAAAATGTCCAAAAAGTCAATCTAGAAAAGCTTCGGGCTGGGCCTTCTTTTCTTTGACACAGTCAAACGACTTAATAGAAAAATATGAAACTTTGACACAATCATCTTGAAGGACTCACGAACATGTTCCAATTAGAATCGCTCCAAAATTCGTCCGTTTGATCACTTTATGCTCAAGAAGAAGTCGAGTGACATATAGTAGAAATATAATTTAAAGTATCAAAATTCACACAAAATAACCAATAAATTAATACGAAGATTAGAATAAAATAAATGGTAAAATATTGACTCATCACGAGCTTCCAAAAATCAATGCGAAACTGGAGGCGGTGAAGAAGCTAAAGATCGACGCGTATTTTTTCCGATGTTGTAGTGTTTTTCAACTTAGGATCTTAATCATCTTCAACTATGACTAAGCGATCCATTTTCTCATATTATTTGTCAGGACTCTGTCCTGAGCCCATTGAACTAAGTTTGCGATTTTCATGTTGTTGCTATCCCCAAATTTCTTAGTATTGATAGCAGTCTGACTGGATTGATTCATTTGATGCACCCTCTGTCACATGATACTCCGCTTGGTATGTAATCTCCTCAAACACCGTGCATTGAAGGACAATGTGTTTACAGCATTGAATAGCTTGCAAGTCCTTGGCCTCCATCACGGGACCATTAGAGGTGTGATCAGAAACGCAATTGTGACAAAACCTTTGATTAGCAAACCGGGGTGTTTCCACTAGCCTTGGTCCTGACTACCAATCGGATATCAACAAGGAAATTTCCCCATCAATCATATCTGCTATTCTGGTTTCATCCTGATCGGTGATATTCAACTCTGCAACCATGATCAGTTGCCACAGTCAATGTTATATCATTCTCAATGTCAAATTGGAAATAAATGTTGCGTACACGACCTGCAAAGTATAAGCTATATGCAATTTTCTTTGTTGTTGTTCTAAAGTTCTAGTTTTTATATGCATTTCGTCTATTTAGTGTATCAAAACTAGTAGTTTTAAGCAATTTTTCTAATTATTAGTCTTTTTAGCTTTTTTTGCGTTTGTTACGAAACCAGTCTATTAGCTGTAATGGTAGTAGAGTAATGTTAGTTATACTAATTTTTTAGACCAAATTTGTAAATATATAATGTGTCACCAATAGAAAATATGCAGTTAATCAATACTTAAATAATAATTCAATCATCAACAACCATGTTATCTAATTGACAAGATTTAGTTTAAAATTTTGGGGTCCCTAGCATTACTCATCTTGAGTGTGCCCTATTATGCTCATAAGGTAGGTGAAAAATAGAGCAGATGATTGAGTATAGCAATACTCTTTCGAAAAAGTGAAGAACGCAGACAATCTCATTCTTGAACAAGGCTCAAAACTAGGGGTTTTAACACCATGGGTAAAATATTTGTGAAAAGTCGGAACAAACATAGTCATATTTTCTTGGCCCAAACTAAGAGTTGGACAAAGATCTATATCTGCAACTCCATCAATTAATGTATGTCAAATGTCGAAAAAATAAAATAAATAGAGAGCTTGTATGTTCTTTATTAAGATAATAAATTAGAAACCCATTGACATAATTTGGGTAATTCGAGGAACCAATATTATTCAACACTATGGGTTCAATTTAACAAAGAATTTGTAGTTTAAGTAGTTAAAATCTTTCTTCATTATCGCTTGTATAAGGACTCTAATTCTTAAGGTTTGAGGGGTAAAACGATGGTAGATAAGAAATATAGAGTTGTTAAAGTTATAACGTATGTGATTTGCTTGAAAAGATGAATATACACAACCTTCTGTGAAATTTGTATGAATGAATATATATATTGGTTTACATAGGTATTAAATATTTCGACAAAATTCTAAGTTAAATATTTAGAGTGCTTTCTAGATAGAAGCACATATAGAGTGCTATCTAAAAAAAATCTCTTTTAACTTAGATTTACAACTTTTCTTGCCCAAACATGCCTTAAAAATAGTAAGAATCACGAGAGTTGCTTGTTTTGCCATCTGCTTAATTATACTTTACAGCATTAACCACGTAATTAGGGAATATGCTTATTCTTGCTAGAGCGCATTATTGGGTTGAAAATTAAGGAATTTTATTTACAAGCCACCATAGCTCCACTAACACAAAACTTCTAAAATAATAGCTAATCATTAAACGAAAACCCACTAAAATTAGGAGCTAACCACATCTTCTATATATATTTAGAGCAACGTCAACAAAACTAGGCAACATAACTTCATATCACAAATTACACCAAAAAAAAAAAAAAACACTGTCAAAAGAGCTGAAATTCTATGATTGATCAATGAAAACGAGTAGCGCTAGTGCCGTTGTTGTTCATGCCCTGAACAACTTGACCGTCACCGGATTTGTGGAAGACACGGCGACGTTTGAGAAATGCAGCAAGGAATGCTTCGGGAAACTTGACATGGAGGTTTTGGCAAACTTTTGCCGGGCATAGGGTACTTGTCGCAGCCGAAGGATGAAATCAACGTCCTGCATGATGAAATATTTGAGAGATTCGATGCGGATAAAAATGGTGTGATCGATGGTCAAGAGTGTAAGACTCTGTTGGCCGAGACAATGCTCGCGGTGGCGTGGGGAATCGGGAGTTCCCCGGTGCTGGTGGCGCTTGAACATGGCAGCCTCCTCGTGAGGGCTGCTGAACATGAAAAGGCAAAGAAAATGCAAATAGCTAAGATCAATTAATTTTCATGATCTTTGTATTTTTATGGTATTTTCTATACATATAGCTACCAAAGATTGTAATGAATGATGCTTGGAATAAGATATTTGCAAAAAGATGTGAAACTGAAAATTTTGGAATACTTGTTTATTTTTCAGGTGGTATATAAATTTTTATTACTTTGGCGTTCGCCGATCCTTTTAACAACAATACATGGTTTTATTTCAATACTACATAGTATAAAAATCGCCAAATTTACAAGATAAAATAACCTCTTCTTTAAAAGATCTATAAGTCACGTAATGAAAGATTTAGGAAGATTATTATATATCACCCGTACGTGATGAGAAATGTCATAATTATCTGTAATAAGAAATATCAAGACATGATATTATCCCCATAATAAGAGGTTCGTTTCCTATACGGAGGGAAACTAATTTTGGCAAAACAATCTAAGATTATAAAATACTGGTTTTCTAACATTGTTGTCTTTCTCAAAGAAATAATTGGCAGAACTATAACCTTCGTTCTAGGTTTATAGAAGTATAGGCACAAAAGTACATATTGCACATCAATTATCTTAATAATTCTTTGGGGTATTTTATAAGTGCGGGTGTCGTTCTGTCAACTGTCTGTCCATAACACATATAAGAGACTCCTGCATTCAAATTCATCAAAATAGGCCGGTTTGTGTCTTGGATGAACATATATATGACATAGCATGGCTCCCCGCATCCAAGATTTTCTAGTTTCTCCTCGTTTGGATGGTAAACTAGGTAGGTTAGTTGCAGGGCCGCCCTTGAGATTTTGGAGGCCCTGTGCAAAATTTATAAAAAGGCCCTCCTTAAGATAGTTTTAAGTTTAAAAAAAAAGTATAACAATGTACTGATACTATAAAACATTCACTTAAATCAAAACAAAACCACTTTTATAATAAAATTAAGAAACTGTCATTTTTTAGGATGTTATTATTGACACTCAAAGTATCTCATTGTACTTCAAGTTTTTCTTTTTAGAAAAAAAAAAAAACTCTTATAAAGAATGCACAATGCAGTTTTAAAATACTAATAAAATCAATTTTTGAATATATAACATTATTACATGATGTTAGATGATAAAAATTTAGGAGGCCTTCAAATTTGGGATCCTGTGCAACTGCACATTTCGCTCCCCCTCAACGCCCCTTCTGGTTAGTTGTAGCTAAACCAGATCTTGGAAAACATGGATCAAATCCATGCAGCCTAAAAAGAAGAACGATCCTCGGCTGGGAGATCGGGATTACGCAGGGAATTTGCCAAACAGCGTGCAACCCAAGAGACCCGTTGCTTCTAAAATCTGCCTCAAAAACTGCACCACCCTACTAGGTTAGGCGCCACACTAAATCACTAGGGTAGAGACACTTAATTTGTCCTCATTTGGCTAAATATTAAGCATGCTTATCGGCATTCAAAACGATTAGTTGTTGAAAATCCAAGCAAAATATCATGCTTTTTTTGTGTTCGAGAAGTTGCAGTCTACAATCTACTTGCCACGTTTCATCAGTGACACCCATATTGGTGTCTTGCCATCTTGATCAACCTGGGAACATTACACAAACCGAATGAAACTGATTACAAACTTTTCATGTTAAACATAATTCAAGGGACATTACAATGTTAAGGACATTAAACTATTATTTGCATGTGACTAATTGTTTGTTCACATTCAATGTCATCTCGTTTAATTTTAAATTATAAATTTGTAATCGATTCTATTTACAAGTATTTCATCTCAATACTTTTGTTTTGTAATAATACAAGAAGTTGCAGCCTACAATCTACTTGCCGTGTTTCGTTGGTGTGTCGTCATCCTGATATCAAATATCATGCATTTCCACTTGATTGACTGAAACTGAAGCTACCATACAAAAGTGGTTGGGGAACTCTCTCCTTTCCCCAAGGCCCCATCTTCTAAAATCTCCTTTTGAGATGGCAAAACAAGAGAAAAACAAATTATATATAGGGAGAGAGAGAAAAGAGCCTACTTACCCTTTAAAGTAAACTGAAAAACAAAATCCAAAAGTCACCTGCAACTGTGACCCAACTGAAACCCTAGTGCAGCCCAGCTCACTCCCATTCCTGAGAGAGAGTTCAAAAGCCTGTCAAAGGCGCAAATTAAGGAGGATATAACATGAATGTAAGGCTTAGCTACTGGTGCTGATGATTGTGATGATGGGATCCTCTTGTAACTTTTATCATTCAAGATTCAAAGCCACGAACCACATTCTAAACCAAAAGCCAAAAGCCAACAGCTAAAAGCTCTTATTATTTAGTCTAAATAGCAGGTAGCAAAGCCTCAATATCCCAAACTTCCCATCAGTACCAAGCCTGAGACTAACCCTTTAGACCTCTAAACACACAATCTTTCTCTCTCTCTCTCTCTCCACCTTAAAACTTCCCACACAATTCTCCAACTGCTTATGGCTTGAGCAACAAGCATCAAAATTGGAACATCATGATCCCAGCATGTTTCGGCCAGCCCAACACACCCACAAGCAGCTCTCAAGTGCCCCAAAACCTCATAACCTGCATATACCAAACTCAGCTTTGCAACTCTCCCACATATCTCACTCTCACCTGGTCCAAAACCTTCTTCTCTCACTCCCTCACCATCCATGCCTCTGACTCGTTCTCCTTCACCGTCTCCTTCAACCCATCAACCTTCTCGTTCTTTCGAACCAGACCGGGCTCCAAATCCATCTCTCTAACCCACAGCAAACACAAAAGCATCAAGCTCTACTGGGACTTCACCCGGGCTGACTTCACTCACAACTCCGCCGAGGCCGAGTCATGCTTCTACATCGCCATTTCTTGCAATGCAAGGCTTGAATTCTTTCTTGGGGATCTTCTGGACGATTTGATGGGGCGATCAGGGTTAGTTCCGACTCACAAGCTCGGCAAACCAGCACTACTGTCAAGGCGGGAACATGTGTTTGGACACAGGAATTACATATCCAGAGCTCAGTTCTTGGGATCCAAACACGAAATTGGAATAGAGTGTAGTAAAGGTACACTTCGACTAAAAGTAGACGGAATAACAAGCCTAGTTGTCAAAAGGTTGGCTTGGAAATTCAGAGGCAATGAGAAGATTTTTGTTGGCGGAGTAGAATTTGAATTTTATTGGGATGTCTTCAATTGGGTTAATAATGAAGGTGGTAGTAATGGGAACGGTCATGGTGTGTTTGTATTTCAAGTCGGCGATGGTGGAGTGTGGCCGGAAATGGTAGGTCCTGAAAAGAAGTTGATGAGGAAGAGCTTGTCAATGTCGACTGCTTCGACAACAGTGCCGTCAATTGCCTCGCTGTCTCCATCACCATCGTGCTCGAGCGTGCTGCAATGGGCAGAGGAAAGTAGTGATGGGGGGAGGAGTTCATGTTCTTCATCAACTAGGTCATGTGGTAGTAATGGGGGGTTTTCTCTGTTGTTGTATGCTTGGAAGAGGGATTGACACTTTATCTATTAAATTCCAATGTGATGGTTTGAAATTGGAAATAATTACTCCTTCATGTTGTAAATTTCTGGTGTTTTTCCTTTTGGAAATGACATCCGAACACTCTTTTTCTACTTTCACCACACACCTCTCCTTATTTTTGTTCTTTTTCTTTTTTGTTTTTTTGAGAATCTTGAGGAAATTTATCGATATGAAAAAAAAGTTACATCTAGTCATGCGGATATAAGTCCTACTTTTCATAGAGCAAAAAAAACAAAACACACAAAAAAGAGAGGTGACATAAACCTTATCCTTCTTGAAAAAGAAAATACAAAGAGGGAGAGGGAGAGATAAACTGATCCCTCTTGGAAAAAAAATACAGGAAAAAGAGGGGCAAGACATAGGACCAAACCCCTCTAAATAAAACTTAAAAAATAGACTTTTTACCCAAAATGGCTCCTGAGATTTGCATAACACATCACTTTGGTCTCTGAGATTGAAAATCAATAGAAATTGTCCTTGAGATTGTCCACCATCAATTATTTTGGTCCTTTCATTAAAAACTCTTTTAAGTGTTCCGAAACTCTTGACCGGAAGTTTAGGTAATTTTCAAAACTTCGTAACTCAATCGTTTATTAACCAAATTCGACCCATAATATATCAAAATGAAGATAGAAAAGTGTAGAACAAGATTATACCTATTTGGAAGCCCAATGATTGCCGGAGATGGCCGGAAAATAGCTTGAAAGGTGATTGGTCCTTAGGAAAACTGGAAAACTCGCCGAAAACTGGGTAAACGTTAAACGTTAATAACTTCTTCAATACTCAACAAAATCGAGTGATTCAAAAACGAAAATCATACTTCTCAACGAGAGGAATAGAATGGTACCTTTCTAGATGGTTAATTATCTGTGTATTGACCGGAAAATGGCTCGAAAGTGGCTAACTCGAGACTAAAATAGCCAATTTCGAGACCTTTTCCAGCCAAAAAGGGCTATTTATCTGTCAAGAAAGGTACCATTCTCTTTGTCTCGTCAAGAAGTATGATTTTTGTTTTTGAATCACTCGATTTCGTTGTGTATTGAAGAAGTTATGAACGTTTAAAGTTTACCCAGTTTCCGGCAAGTTTTCCAGTTTTCCCGCGGACCAGTCACCTTTCAGGCTATTTTCCAGCCATCTCCGGTAACCATTGGGTTTCCAAATAGGTTTAATCTTTTTCTACACTTTCCTATCTTCATTTTGATATATTATGGGTCAAATTTGATTAAGAAACGATTGAGTTACGAAGTTTTGAAAATTATCCAAACTTTCGGCCAGGAGCTCCAGGACACTTAGCGGAGTTTTTAATGGAAGAACCAAAATAATGGATGGTGGACAATCTCAAGGACCATTTCTATTGATTTTCAATCTCATGACCAAAGTGATGTGTTATGCAAATCTCAGGGATTATTTTCGCTAAAAAGCCTAAAAAGTAAGAACCTACAAGATAAGCTCTGCAAAACAAAAGGAACTTCCAAAAGCGTATTGAAATCGCTTCTCTTCCTTTTTGTATAAGTATATATGCATTTTTGTTTCTATACAAGTGATATTCTATTATAAACACACCCGCTCAAGTGTCTAGAGAAAAAACATCATTTCTAACCAATGTAACTACGCCTGCACATAGAACATAAATACAGTCTAATCACTATAATTTTCAAATTTTGAAGTCTATTCATCTTTGGATTCTCTAGTAGCCTTTTTTAATGCCCTTTAACAGAAAGGCCGCGACTTTATGCGCAAGAACATGAGGAGCTCTCATTGCAACTTTACTGTCCCTACAGTTTAGTTCTGCTCAAGAACATGAGGACCTCATCATTGCAAACATACACTTCTGCTCCTTTGTAATCGAGTCAAATCTCTTTTACCAAGGTCATCGGATCAAGTGATCCGGACTTTTAAAATTTTATCCAACGGTAAAAAATTATTATAGCTTTTAAGGGATCAAAACAGGTGGGCCGTTGGATGAAATTTCAGAAGTCCGGATCACTTGATCTGGTAGCCTTGGTGGAAGAGATCCGGAGAGGATCGCTTCTCTTTGTAATCATCATAAGCACTAAAAAAAATTCATCCCTCATTTCCTCTGCTGCAGAAAGCAAATAAAATTGAAAAATTTAGCATCTTTACTTGGTAAATATTGTAATATGATTTATTGACTCTGCAGTTGTCTGCAATAGTTACAAGCACAAAGTTGCCGGGAAAATTTCGCCGTGGTTTTTCACAGCACATTGTTTGCCCAGATGCTAATGGGTAGAAAGCGCCCGAAATGAAACAAAATAACAACTAAATCACGTGTATTCTAGTATATTTTAGCATTAGAAATGTCTTTACAAAACTAGACAGAATTTCGGTTGACGTAAATAATATGCAACTATAAACTTCTGCATCTACAAAAGCCCAAGTACAGAAATAGGTACTATGTTTACATTTGGATTCCCCTACGTCGTTACATTGGCACAAGTCAAAGAAATACCTAAAACAAAACGTACCAAGTAAAAGTAAGGTCTAGTACTATCAAAAGAAGCAAAATCTAACCAGACTATCAAGTTTCGCCGAGATACAGGACTTCAAATGTTGGAACTACGGAATCGAATGTCGACAACTGAAAGTTCGACCAGTACCAGTGAACATAATGTTGGTCTTTCCGTGGCGGTCCTGATTAGCAACTCCTATTGATCTTAATGTAAAATGATTGTGACCCTCGTTCGGAGTTCGAAGACTTACATTGTTCAGTCATTGGATCTTCCATAAGCAGGTGTGAACAGGTGGCCAGAGACATTCCAGCTCTCGGTCCCGGCGTGCCTTATAATCTGTTAAACCGATCGCGGAAAACAGAAATCGATTTCTGGAAAAACTCCCATATGTTAAGGATCAATAATCCAGCATATGAAAGCGCTTTTGTTCTCACTTTAAACTTATAGTTTTAGTCATAGAACGTACCTCCATCGATGCAATTGAGAGGCCTCCGTGGAAGTTTTAGGTATGTCCTGCAGACCGATAAAACTTGACACCTTGTAGGTATGTCACTCCAGCCAAAGACCATGAAAATTAGCGGATTGACCAAAAACTTTATGACCAGGGAAGAGAAACAAGTAAGTAGGGGAAACACTGAGCATGCAATCGAATTCGAAGTGTCTGACAAGCAGACACATCTTTTTACGTGTCTGCATGTTGCAGTTTATATCAAGTACAAGTGAAACAAAAGAGAACCGCAGAATTTTCTTGCCTCGAAATATAACTGTTGGATCTTCGAAGAGACAATCTTCAGTATAAATTGCAGAAGTGAAAATCCCTCTTACCAAACACAAAGTAGAAGTGTGAAATAACCAAAAAAGAAAGGAAACCAATCGGTTAACGATACATTCATATATATATATGCACATAGTCATACACAAGGAATGTCTCATTCAAACAGTATAGGTAGGTAACTGTTACGAAATACGCATTCTCGAAATCAAATTTGAGAATCGTTACGACATCATCAATGCCGAAAACTGAAAACTCATCGCTTTCATTGTCACTCACTTCATTCGTCTCATAAAAATTAAAAAGGCAAAATCCGAAGAGCTCGCTTCACCATCAAATTTATCAGACAATTCATTGTGACCAATATTGAAGGTTCATAACTTCATATAGTATGCTCATAACCACTAGAAGAAGTTAAAAAGGAACAACCTTTGTCAAGAAGATTGTACAATTAAGGATGATTTAACATCATATTCAACAATTTCACATAGAAATAATCCAAATTCTCAAATTTACACATACAATCAAATGCTTGAATAGATTAATTTGCATGAAAATCCCAAAGATTAAATCTTTAGAGGATAAAAGCTCATCGAAATACTTTTTTATTCAGAAACTTTTAGACAACTTTCCTTATCATTAAAGACAAAAGTTTTATTATTAAGGACATTTTTTTAATTCAAAACCGTGAAGCGTGACTCCTTTTTTATTTTTTTACCCTAATAGCACAAAAATTATCCTTAACAATAAGAAAAGTTGTCTAAGTGTTTTTGGATTAAAAAAAAAAGTTTTGTGAAGAACTTTTTATTAGTTCTCCATCTTTATCCTTGTTCATTTCATGGGGAAACAAGTGGAAGGTGAGGGGAAGGGTAAATTCGGAAGAAAAAAAAGTACCTGGTTGTTTTGTTGAAGGAGGAGAGGGGCCTGAGAAGCTCAGTGATTCCACGGCGATTTTCAAAACCTGCGGGGTTTCTCTCCTGTGATTGTTGCTTCCGTTGTTATCCGGTGAGGGGGGAGGAGCACCGGATGCCGTGGATTGCCCGGATAATGAACGGTCATAAATGGATCAGAAAGCAACCAACGATCAGGAATTGAAGTAAAATTGAAAATCGAAATTTGAATGCTCCGTTACCATCGACTGCGGGAGCGGAGGAAGCCATTGTTTTGGCGGGTTCATATTTCACCGAGTCCGTTATTACAGTTGGTGAACTGCAAAGGTCGGGTCGGGTTATATTTGGTTGGAGGAATTGGGCCTGTTGGATTAGAGAGCCCATTCAACCCAAAGGATATGGCGGGTGGGGTTTCTAACCTCTAAAAAACCCGGTTTAAACAATGTTAGCCACTCGTTTGGGTTCACTCCAGAGTTTAGTCCCATGATAATATTTCCAGTCCTTATTCAATGATTATCTTTTGTCAATTATCATTCAAATTTGAAATCATCTGGGCAATTTACATTATGATTCTCACCTTTTATTAGCGGGAAGGACAAATTCTAACTTGAGGCTTTTTCCAACCGTAAAGAAGTACCACTAATTGCTGTTAAATTAGTTTAATTTTTGAAATTGGTTTTTTATTTAATACAATTAAATTAATTTAACGGTAATCAATAAGGGATAAGCATTACTCATGAGTCGGTGATCATGTGGTAAAATGACGGATTACGAGACTTCCTTAAAACTAAAAACTAGAAGTCTTGGATTTGAAACCCGTTGCTTGCGTGGAAACCAAAATTA